ATTACAAGATGAACTGCCAACTCTTGAGCCACGATTGACCACCACAGTCGCCTCAAGGCGCTTCATAAGCGAACCTGGGGTGCACTGACAGAGGCGAGGCTGCCAGACACTGGCGCCACTGGGCCCTCTGACTACCACCAGTAGGCAGTAGGTGAAGTGTCTTGCCCAAGGAGACAACGACGGAGACTGTCCAACCCGGGGCTCGAACCGGCAACCTTCCGATTACAAGGCGAACTCCCAACTCTTGAGCCACGATCTCCCTTAGTGGATCAAAAAGGCAAAGATGTCCAAGTATTTTCTGTTTAAACTATTTTTTTCATGCCTGTTATGCAGTTATTCCTCAGCCCTGTAAGCTCCCACCCGACTCCTCCATGAGCTGCACGAGTACAAGAGTTTAGGTTTGATGGGCAGCATCCAACTTTTAGTTTTCTAGCAGTTAGAAGTTATTAAAGGAGAACACTGTACTACACTGGAAAATGAGAGGTAAACATCCAAACACAACTACAGCCTTATCGTATCAGACGGTAAATGCAGCAAGAACTTTTAGTGTTGTTTTCTTCCCCCCTATAAGGATAATTCTGTTTGATGTGTGCTCATACGTGTAGCTTCTTTACAATCTTTACTCATTGTCAACAGTGTCAGCATCATGGACGTGTGAAGCGAGCCTTTAATTGTGAGATTAGAAACTGAAATCAGAGTAAGAGCTCAGTCAGACTTTTATGTTTATTTCTTAGCATTTTTACTCTTCTCTCATTTTAAAATATTTTTTTCTCAAATCAATAGAATAATAACATAAATTAATTCTTGTTTGAGTCTTATCAAGGCAGTGGTTTAAATGACACTGAGCCAGCTGTAAGGTCACATGTCTGACATCAGCACAACTTTTATTTTGAACTGTAAATCAACCAAGATAAACTTTGGGAAAAGCTGATGGTTATTCAGAGTTGAAATGTTTGCCCAGAACAGGAAGAGACCTCTGGCAGAATCAGGAGGGGCAGCTGTCAGCTGCAGCTGGAGGGTGAGGAGACGGAGCTGAAAAGAGAAGCACGGCGAGATGACCAAACCCAAACTACAGGTGAGAGCAGGAAAGGTATTGACACTGCAATTATGGCTTATAATGAAACACCCTGCTGTCCACGCAGAATCTGAAATAGTTATTTGTGTTCATGGACATGAATTGTCAGCACAAGTTTGTAGATAATGTGTTGGGTTTCAGTAGTAGTCAGAAACATCTGTGACACATACTTTTTCTAGATAAAGCTTTGCAACAGTAACCAAGAAACCAGGTTTTAAAAACGTGACAGACACTGTGGTCAGTGCCTCCAAAAAAGTCAGTACATTTAAAAAAAAAAAAAAAAAAAAAAGGTCTTACAATGATACAAAAATCTGTTTGTAAACTCCTCCTACATGATCTGGCGCACAGGTACATCTTCCACCCCATATGATGACATCATCATGCTTCCCAAAATTACACATTTGTAGCTCGTGCTCCTATAACACCTTGTAAAAGCATATTATGATTTTAATTGCATGACTGTAACATGCACTTATATCAACAAGCCTTTTATATACACAGTATATCGTGACGTTAACTATTTGACTACTTCACAATCCGCCTAGCAACCACCTAACGATGGACTGTGTATTAATAACACAAATGAAGTGTGAAAATCTGAGATGTGTGTGCCACATTGGGCTGCTTTTGTGAGAGTGAAGTGATTTGTTCCACCATCAACCCTTCCGAACACCAAATGGGAATTCTTAGATTTTTAAAAGTGGAAAATATGAATTTTGCCATTATGTCCATGAATAAGAAGTGCAAGGAAAGAGTTAACCTGGTGAGATCACAGTAATTGATGAAGACCTTTGAGTTTTTCTCCTAATTCTCATTAACTGGAGGACAAAAAATAAAAATGATGAACACACAAAAGTATTTGGTAGCGCTTGCTGATACCGTACAGTTATCATAGTCCTCCTTAGTATTCCCATTTATAAATACAGACTTGTTTATCCATCTGTTACTGTTACACCGTGTAAAGGCATCACTGCTAATAATAATCATAACCATTGTCATAATGATATATCTGTACTTATAATACTGTATAATACTTAATAGTGTGACATTATTATAAGATGCTAAATATTTATATATAAAAAGTCCTTTTTTTCTCTTGTTCTTTTTTCCATCCATGAGTCAAAATGTCAGGTTTTCTGGAAATTTTGACTTTTGAACTAAAACTCCTAACTCAGTTTTGCATTATGAAGGCAGTTTTAAGCTGCCTAACCTGAACTTTTGCCACTTTTGACAGGATGCAGTTTTAAGCAGGATTCAAAGATAAACCAGATAACGATGCATTTAACCACCTGTGATAGTAAAGCCACTTCTTCTCACAGCACATCCTGTCTGTGGATTTTTTTTTTTATTTCCCCCCTCTCACGGCCTTGGGATTTAAAAACACCAGGACTCGTGCTGCATAAACCAAGCACTCCTTTACAACTCCACATGTTAATGCAGTGATGTGCAGATGCTGATCTCCAGATAGTCACGTCGCTGCAGATATAAATGCTTTAATCTCTTAATGGTTGTCTCAGTCTGCTCTGCTGTATCCCACATGGCTTCATATTTAAAGGAGAGACAATAAGACATCGTCAGACATTTTGTTTTTTGTTTTTTTGTTGAGGAAGGAAAAAAATGTGCTGTTGCTTAAAACCACACTCAACATGAAGCCAAACCCCAAATGCAAAAATGTTTCAGCCTAAACGTATGTTTCTTTAAACGGTCTTGAGAAAGTAGGACAAAGACGTGCTTGAATATAATCTTTATTTTTACAGCCAAAGTTTTTAAAGTTGGTACAGCCAGCTAAAATCTTTTATGTGCATGTGTGTGCGCATGAAAGCGCGTGAGAGCTGCTACCAAATCAAATCATACTGCATATAGGTGTAGCATAAGAGTGAAGCAGAGTGTTAATAGGATGTGATGAACACCAGTGAGAAAGATGAAGGGGAAAGTCTGTTACTGAGAGACGAGGAGATGAAAGGTGGCTATCGGGAGACAGAGTCCGGACTGGACACTTCCTTTTTGTGGTCACATGACAAATCTGAGAAATGGGAAGAGAAGAGGAAGGATGGAAGAAGGCACAAGAGTGGAATATCATGCAAAGCCACAGGAAGATAAGAGAGGGAGACACAGGAGTTGTGCTGTTAGTAGTCTCTTCTCAACAAATTTCAAATCACAGACTGTTAGCATGGAAATGTGAGCATACAGTGAAGGTTAGAGTATGTGCATCAGTGATTATTTTAGAGAAATAGCAGATTTTGGACACTCAGGATTTGAGTAAACGCAGCAGCTGTTTACATTCGCAGTTCTTCCTTTCTAATAGACTAGCTAAGAAAAATATCTGCTTCTTTAGCTGCTCGATGTTCAGCTTTCCTCACCTGCTTGTATCTGACTTTCTGTTTGCTGTGCGTTGCTGGGAGGTGGTTTTCTCAGGACGAGGCTGCGGTGGCTGATAAGAGCAGGCAGCTGAGAGACTAGAGCTTAATTTATAGTACTGCATTGAATCTTTGCTGTAGTGATCGATGTCGTTTGAATTTATACACTGGTGTGTCTGCATAACTCTGCTGTCAGAAGCAAAACTCCGCTAATAAATCCTGAACAACAGTTAATTTCATGGCTATACAGGAAGGAGAGAAGACTTAAAGCTGAGTGCAAACACAACTTTGAAATGTTTTTGCACTGGCAAAATGCGAGCTTGTTTATTATTTTAATGAGCAAACTCGATGCAACTACATCCCATTACAGTTTGTTTCATGGAAATATTGTCCTTGGGCTAATCAGTAAACTGTTTGCACTGCATCTATGCACTCATTATCGTCTATCCAAGGTTCAGTTTCAGTGTACTTTAGTGCACAGTACTGTAAATGTCTTTCTCCAACACTGTAATATTCCTCATAGTGGATCCTGTGGCCTTTCTGTTGGGACACGTAATCTCTCCAGCTATACCTGAGTCTTCTCTCCAAGGCAGGAGGTGCCAGTCTTATTTAAAAAAGGCACTTCAACAGTCTGCTTTCAGCATGAATCCCCCCCTTTTCTAACTATGCTGTCTGTGGCCCCTGGAGGATCTCCTGAGGATAATGGGTCATGCTTGCTCAGAAGATAATTACCCCCTTCAGCCTGACCTTGGAGAGGAGCTTGCTCACAAGTGTCTGACCAGGCCTGAATACATGGGTCCTAATTTAGAAAGGAAAATAACATGGATCTGCTGGCCTGTAGGCCCATACCTATTATTATATTCAATGCAGTACTATAAATGACACTGATATAGTTTCTGCGTATGCAAGCATAGCTAGATCTGCACGGGTTCAAGTGACACAACTTTCTTCACCGGTGTTGGCCAAATGTTTGTGCTGTTTAATATCCCTACACCTGAAGGTACAAAAGTCATAACAAACAATTACTTTGTAGTGAAGTGAGCGTTAAAAACAGTGGAAAGTGTTCAGGTTAGCAATTTAATACCGTGCATCAATGCAAATATAATTTTGTTTCTTGTTATTTTATTTTATGACACTTTATCTGCAGTACTTGCATGCAACTTAATCTGGCTTTTGCTGCTGGCAACTTCACAATATCATAATTTAGTCTTGAAATGAACGTGCGTGCGTGTGTGTGTGTGTGTGTGTGTGTGTGTGTGTGTGTGTGTGTGTGTGTGTGTGTGTAAGGCCAACTGTTTACTCCAAAAAGTCAGATTATGGTATGAGAACTGTGTTTTGGGTTTCAATTTTACTCTGCCAACATTTAGTTGGCATGGAAGTCACTAAACTAGCTGACCTTGAAGTCAAAGTAAGTCATTATTGTGTAACAACTAGGCAAAAGTGATTGGTTTGGGGTTTTTTTTGGAGTACACTGCTGACCAGTTGGTGTTATGTATGCCCAGCTAAAAATATTTTACCCCCTGAACTGTTGCTCTCTGCCATTCCTCTCTCTTGATTGGCTAACAGCAGACTCGCCTCATTCCCATTGGCTTCCTCTGGCCCATTGTGATTACCCCACATTGCAGCGGTAACATAGAGCTCTGCTGTGACTGGGCTGAGCTCGCTGTCTGTCTCACAGAGCCCTGCCCCCAGAAGGTGTTGCTCCACCCCCAGCTGAAGCTCTGAGGAGAGAAGAGCACCTCTAGTGGAGATACACTTCAACTACAGGCACATCATTTTAGCGCAGTAACGGCTCAAGATAGCAAAAGTAAAAAGGAATTTGTAGAATGAAAATGAAAGGGACCAAATTAGAAGACCAAAAAGTTAAACTGAAGGAGAGCAAAACAGATTGGGCTTCTAGTAACATCAGAGTTAAACCAGAGGAATATGTATCACTTGTAGAAGAAGTCTGTGAAGGTTCTCAGTCATCCAGTTGAATGTAGTCTAAGGAGCTTGGAAACAAAAGCATCTGGACCTTTTTAGGTTTCTTGAAGATCATCCGAGAAGCTTCTTTAGTTCTAAAAGCAATTGGTAGAGAGAAATCTCTAAAGGACTGATTGTGACCCACACCCATTTTCACACCTTGGCTCATGTGATTAGGTAGAGGATCAATAGGGGGTCCATGACCCTCCTGGGAACATTCGCATAGGTCTTAAAATCTGGGACTCTCCACCAATTGCTCTCAGATTTGAAGAAGCTTCTCGGGTGAGAGGTAAAAAGTCTTCAAGAAACCTAAAAAAATCCATACGCTTTTTCTTTTCAAGCTCCTTAAACTATCACTTGTAGATTTTTTGCAGTTGCTGATTTACTGTAAAAGTTTAGGCTGTTAAGGAAGAACTTTTGTATTTTATAAGTTTGTCAAATATAATACTGAATCACACACAGATCAAGGTTAATATAGTTGGAACTAAACTTAAAAACTTAAAAGTGTATTAATAATAATAACAATAATAATAATAATAATAATGATGATAATAATAATAATAAACCCTGAGAAAGTGAAGACTAAAACTATAATGTGTATTTAAAAATGATAAAAATTGTTTATTGTTTGAATTAAAGGTTTTTGTTTTGTCAACAGTGTGTGCCTGATGAGGCTTTAATGAAATATAATATTTTTTTTAAAAAAAAGTACGACAGTGAGAGAAAACATATTAAACACCGCGCTGGGAAGTAGATTTATAAATAAAAAAATTTTCCTTATCCAACAAAATGTAAATGCTTGCTATGGATTTAGGGTAGGCAGTTCTCAAAGAGACTAGTCACACACACAGACACACACATGCACACACACAAACAAACACACACACACACCAGACACCACACACACACACACACACACACACACACACTCTCCCTCTTTCACTTAGTCTTACATACACACTCACTCAGCTGGGATCAATAAAAGAAAAGCTTTTACAGTCTCCACTTCCCGGAATCAAGTCAGTGCTGCACTCTCTGCCCAGACTTATATGTGCTGTGTTCTTTTTCTTTCCTCTTTATAATTTCCCCCCTAAAACACATACCTTTTTCTGCGTGCTCCTAAAGCAGAGTTGTCCGTGCTCCCCGGATATAAAAAAATCACCAGTGTGTTTTTTTCCCCTCTTTTTTCTCAATCAGCCTCTCCTGTTCTGCAGCAGTTGCATCACTTCCTCTGATTCCTGCTTTCCATGTGGAATCTCTATAATAGTTTCATCAATTATTCAGCTCCAGCGACGATAACAAAATGACAAAAACTGCTACAGGAAAGTCATGCTAAAAGACATCAGACGGGTGCTTTTTGCATTGTTTTGCTGGCGACAGCTGAGACGCTGCCTGAGTTGACAAATGAATCTGTTCAAACAATTAAGTCCCTGCAAATCTGTGTTTCTGATCAAAGTATTCATCAGACCATTATTCACAGCCGATTATGAAGCGGCAGGAATGAATGGGCACCTCACAATCTGAGGCCATGGTTCTCAGTTGGAAAAGGGTGGAGTGAAATGGTAAATGGCCTGTATTTGTGTAACGCTTTACAGATCCAGTCATCCACACACACAGCTACATTGTAGCCACAGCCACCCTGGGGCACACTGACAGAGGCGAGGCCAGACACTGGCGCCACCAGGCCCTCTGACCACCACCAGTAGGCAATGGGTGAAGTGTCTTGCCCAAGGACACAACGACCGAGACTGTCCAACCCGGGGCTCGAACCGGCAACCTTCCGATTACAAGGCGAACTCCCAACTCTTGAGCCACGATCGCCCAGAGTGGGACAAGTTGCTGCCCTAAGTAGACGAGTTTAGGTCGTATCTCTGAGTCCTGTTCATGAGTGAGGAGAGAGCAGAGTGAGGAGCTGATGGAGGGATTATTATTAGGCCTAGAGTACAGCATTTCTATGAACTATATTTGACATAAGTGGTTATTAATCCATCCATACTTTAAAGAGGACCTCTTCTGCTCAGTTCCACCTTCATAATTTTGTAATCTTGGACTCTAGAATTCCATGATTAACAGTTCAGAATCATTTTTATTCATGTTATGAATGGGGCCCTTACTTCATCGTCTTCTGTCTGAACCAGGTTCTTTTGCCTTTCTTTGCTTTTAAAGCCACCCTTCCTCTAGATTTTGTCATTGGCTTCTCCTCATAAGTAGAAGTTTGAACGCCCAGAGCCGTGTCCATCTTCCTGAGGACATGTGCTCTCATCCCGAACCAAGACTAGAAAAAGCTGTCTGAAAATGAGCCCACAGAGGATTCTTCTTTTTTAAAAAACATTTGCCTGATTCCCTTTAATATAAACACCCACCGCTGTGGCAGGATATATATTGTGAGCGATAATAAAGGAAAAAAGACGAGCCATTAGAAGTAACCCTGACTATCTTCTCTCTGTCACGCTGCCAGCTGGAAATCAGATCACAGGCTGGGAAAAACAGGGCCAGAGGCTAAAGAACAAACAAGGCTAAAACTCAGACTAAAGAAAGGAAATCTTAAGAACAACAAATATGTGAAGTAAAACAAGCAGAGCTTCCATCCTAAAGGCAGAACATACAGATACCACAAAACTTAAGAGAGGAGGGAAGAGACTAGTGTGTACACAGCTGCAAGCAATGACACTGCAGACATTAGAGGGTATCGTATCAAAATTTTGTAGAAAAAAAAAAATCAATAGACTGAACGAAAATACACGCATAAGGACAAGTTTGTAGCTTTTATTCTGACTATAAATCATGTGTTAGTTATTGAATATTGCTGGCTGGATAACATTTTCTAACAACATGCGGATTGTCGGCTCGGTCTCCCTCAAATCAGACTGATTTTGATGATGCCAAAGAGATACAATAAAGAGTCTGTTGCTAATTATTCAGAACTTTAAGCTCGTCTGAGTCAAAGATGTGTAATTGATTTATAAAAAAACCATCAACAGTAGATGCTTTTATTTCTGTTTCTGTGCCTTTTCATAGACTACAAAGACAAACGCTGTCGCAGCTCCTTAAACATGTAGAATCTTTGCTTTTCTATCAGTGATGCTACATGTCTTTCATTATTGTTTTAATGCACATTTTGGTGTCTTTGTTGTTTCTGGTGCATCTCGTTGGTGTTTTAATTATAGGGAAAATGTGGCTTTTAAAACAATAGATAGCATTTGGGCTTGTGATGCACCACATAAATCCTCATAATCCTCTCCTCGAGGGAAAACTGAGCTTTTATGCTTTTTATAGACATTGTACACATTTGGGGTTTTTTTGTTGTTGTTGTTGTTGTTTTTTAATTAAATGGAGACGAGGCTGGAACCAGCTGTGCATTTACCTTTCATGGAGGGTGGGGCATAGGTGCTCTGCTTCCTCTGAGAGGACTCTGAAGCCTGCAGAGCAAAAGAAAAGAAAATCATCTTTGTGACAAAAGTTCAAAATGAAAATTCTCCTCTAACCGTCAAATGACTGAGTGGAGTCCAAACATATCTATTTATCTGCTGTTGTGAATCTTTAATCATAAAAATCTTCCAATAATTGTTTTTCATTCAATAATCAATACATTATTTTTTGCAGTGAACCATGGCTAACAGTCAAATGGTTCGAACCATGAATATGTTTTTAAAAGGATGAAAAAAACACCTTCACTTCATTATAATGGGTGGTTGCCTCCAGTTCATCTACACTATGATGTTAAAGTGATAGTTGGATACAGTAATACAAAATCAAAATTTGATTTTTTTCTAGATTTATCAAAGATTGTCTAATTTTTATAGTTAGTATTTTTAAATTCCTTTTTTCATAAAATGACTGAAAACCTTAAAGATATTTTGCATTTCTGTCATAGATGAGACTGATTACAGTCATGTGAAAAAGAAATGTAACTAAAAGGTTGTTTTGCAGTACTTTATCAGTCGCTAACATTGTGGAGGTCTTTTTTTTTTTAAATTTGCTTATACAGAGAAGATTATTATTTTCATCTGACAAATGTTTACCTGTTGCTGAGTTTCTCTTTTCCCTGTATCTGTGTGCATTTACAACTATATATACAAACCTGTGAGTCTCCACTGGCATTGTTCTGATCTCCAACATCTGCAGGAGAGATAAAACAACAGAAAGTGAGCTTTATCCTTAAATCCATTTGCCATAACCTCACCTCTTTCTTTTGATTCTTTGCTTTCAGGTTTCGAGCTCAGTAGTGTGAATGCTGGCATTAACAGTTCTCATGGGGGACGGGGTCTGCCAGCTAGTACACACCACATGGGTAATGGGTAGCGGGTTTTTGTAATTTGGCTTCCTCTGTGGCCTGAAGCCATGCTGTGATCCACTTCAAAAACAGCACAGCTGCAGTTTGTACGCTTCCCAGTGCAACATGTACTGGTGCTGGTCGTGTTAATCAGTATTGATCGCCCATACAGGCATGGAGGTATTATGAGAGAACAGGCCCCTGGTCATGTAAAAAGCCCCTCACCCAGTATGCATGCAGTAACAATACACCCACACTGGAGGAGGTGCAAAGGTGCAAAACAATTCAGTTTTGAGTCTCTGTGGTTGTTTCTTCACCATCTGCTCGGATCTTTTTCTATTATTTCTGCACCTACTTTTGGCTGTCAGATTTTTACTGTGGTCAAAACATGTCATTACTATCCAAAGAAAATTTTGTCTGTAGAGAAATGAATTAGTTATTTTATTTCATTCTTTATTTTTGGCAAACACATAAAGCTTAAATCACAAATTAACAAAAAGAACAGTTACCGTTATGATATTATTGATGAGTTGAAATATCAATATGGTATAAATAATACATTTTTAAGCATAATTTTTATTTGTCAATAATGGGATCTGTATTTTTTTTATTGCTTTACATCTGTTTCTGTTGTGCATCTTGTTTTGCTTGATTTGCATCTCTTGGCAGTTTTTCATGTTATTCTTCCAACTTTTCTGCTTTTTGTATTTCTGTGTCTGCTTTGATTTAACGGCTATATTCCCACTCAAAGCACCAAAAGCTTTTAGTGCCAGGAACCTGTTACAAGAAGCTAAAGGGTTCCTATTCTGCTGTTTGCTTGTGTTTCCACTGCACTCACAAAGCCTGAAAAGGTTTATTCAGCTAAAATAGTAATGACTCTTTCTACATGTGTGTTACATCTCAGCTGACTCCATCTCTGTCCTCAGTCTGTGTCAGGGCTGCAGGTCTGTGTGCAATTTAGAAAATAACATTTTATTTCTCCGGGTGGCCACCACTGCTTACTTGTCCTCGTGCTCATTGAAACCACAGACTGTATACAAAAGATGGATGTAGTATCCAGATCTTAAATTATGGCCTGACTGTTACGATGGCCACTGTGACAGATTTGGTATAAACACAGAAAGTGCAAAAGTAGCTTCTGGATCGCAGCGCTTTTAACCTGCATCCCTATTAATGACCAGTAGGGGGCGATTTCCCTGTTTGCAAAAACAAGACTGGCTGTATAAAAGTTTGTGAGAAAACACAGTAGAGCTGCAATCGCCACTTCTAAAGTTCCTAAATTTTTATAAAATATTAGTGACTCTTTTGAAACTTGTGGGTTAAATAATTCACTGTAAAATAATTCTCCCAGAATTAATTTTGACTCCGGTTCCTGTGTTGGAAATGCCCTGACTCCTCCCAGGTTCCTGAAAAGAGGCTTATTTCTTGTGTTTTCTTCTTCTATGGTCTGTTTAGAATCTCATTCTAGTCCTTTCCCCCTTTTTGAAGTTTGCTTCTGTCTCATTTTGCAGTCCTTTGGAGTCTTTTGGCTTTGTATCATTTTTAATCACTTGGTTTACTCACTAACAAATGTTAAATAAATGCAACAGTGGTTTCTGGCACAACTTCACCTACTTTCATGGTGCACAGAGAAGAACATCTAAAAGACTCCAGTAACACTTGCATAATAAAGAACAGCTTTATTGTTTGACCAGTGCATCACAGCTTGTAACCTGACCTTGATATGGTGCAGGAGTTGTAACAAGCACTGATTCTCAGATTCTCTGGAACGGGGACTCCTCAGGGCCCTGCACCCATGTTTCATCTGCAGGTGATTGATTATCTTATCTTAAACAAAGGAACAAGTGTCTTAACAGCTGCTTGACAAATGTCATCAGCCAAGAGATGAATATCTACACCAAAACTTCTCAGTTTCTTTGGGCTGAAACTTTCATCGTTGAAAAATAAAACAGGTTATTAGCCCGGGATGTTTTTAATCTTTAGATTAATACACATTTAGAGAGTTGATGAGATTAAGTCAGCATGAACTACAATTTGCTGTGGAACTGATAACCTGAGATCTGTAACAGATATTGGACTCATTAACGTCCATTATTGGTTGTTGTCTTTCGGCAGCTGCTGCCAATAAGAAGAAATTCCAAACATACAAAATTAATACAGCCAAAATAGATTGTGAGATTCAAAAACCTCAGCTCAGTGTGTTTCAGATGATGTCCTACTATACTTGTGGGGACCAACAGTCACCTATGGGGACAAAATGCCCGTCCTCACGAGTTTGAAGGGATTTTTGAGGCTCAAAATGTGGTTTTAGTGTCAGGGTTACAATTAGGTTATGGTTAGGCATTCATTTTTGATGGTTAGGGTAAGCAGCTATACGGAAAGCTTTATGTCGAAGAGATGTCCTCACTAAGATATAAAAACATGTGTGTCTGTGTGTTTCAAAAACACCACTTGTAAGCTGAGAGCACGGAGACCTTTGGCTCTGGGGGATTTTCAACATTAAAGATGCAACTTTAAGACCAAAATGATTTCCTGTAGAAATCAGTAAATGGTAAATAGACTAGTTCTGCTTTTCTACTCTACTGAAAGCGCTTATGTAACAGGGCAAATTCACCCATTCACACACACATTCATACAAGCACAGAAGTGTTTTCTATCTAACAGTGACACTCTGAATGCATCAGGAGTAACTCAGGGTCGGGTGCCTTGCGTAAGAACACTTTGGCTTGCAGACCGCAGCCACAGTAATGTTTTGGGTTTTTTTTTTTTTACTTAATGTGAAAAATATCTGCCATCATTTCAAAGAGTGGAAAAATATTGAAACTAATTAGCAAATTTAGAACATTGGGTCTGCAGTTCCTGTCCCAGTGACCTTATGTGAAAGCATGTGGTTGCTTCTTGCTTTCACAGCTGCCAGCTGCTTCTCCTCCTACAGACCGTCGGGTGAACTGACTGAAAATTAGGAAGAACTACAAATTTAAAGTGGTTTTAGGTCATAATTGGTTAACGGAAATGGTGAGATTAAAAAGAATATTCATGTTTATACCACAGACAATAAAACATTTAGAATTATGTGCAGACTCTCTCAAGACTCTCACTGTTGTGTTTTGAGTGTCATTTGCTAGATAAAGAGGAAGGAGTGAAAAATAACCAAGGTTTAAAAATGAAAACAGTCCTTTCTTTAACTAAGACTTGAAAATCATGAGCTTTAGATTCTTTTTGTGCATAGCATAGCCAATCATGCACAGCAAGATGGAGATGATTTGTGGCTGCCCTCTGCTGAGAATATTTCTCTCTGTGTGTTGAAGATACTGAAGTTGTTTCTGTCTGTCTCGCTCTCTGGCTTTTTTTTTTCCCTTTTAAGCAACATTTTTGGGATTTTTCTTTCTTTAGAAATGGACAAAATGGCAGCTTAAAACCAAATCGGGCGCCTGCAGAGCTCAGTGCAGTTGTAATGGGACCAGCCTCAGAGCTGAGCTCACAGAATGGAATCAGCGTGATTATTCAATCAGTCGGTTCCCGTGTAGAGGGATTTATAACAGCTTAGAGCACAAACACACACTCTGCAGGCATCCATCAGCCCGCTCTAAACACTCAGATCACTTACCAAAAGTAATCTAATAAAGGTTCCATTACAGCTGCTGCTTTTCAGCAGCCCGTCTCCCACTCTACCTCTCACCCTTTCTCATTTCCTCTTTCCCTGTCTCACCTGTGCCAGGTTGTCTGTAGATCTGCAGAGTGGCAGGAGTTGGTCTTCTGCGGCGGATCTGAGGTAAACACACACACATTTTCATCATTAACCCTTGAAATCATTCGTTGGCTTTGGGAACACCAACTTCAGTCCATTGTCCAAATAAACCTTTATGAAAAATACCAGCTGGAACAAACTGTCCCGACTATCGCAGTGTAAAGAAACACAACGCTGTGCATCTGTGTAAACGTAACAGTGTACTCTTATTAGCAGGGTGAGGTTTATGGGTTTATGATCCTCAGTGCATATTAAAAATACAGTCTGCTACTTAAACTTTTATTACTTGATTCAAGGTTTAAAGCACAACTTTCCCACAAACCACGCTGTGATAAAGTAACTAACTAAAGTAAACTAACAACTGCCTGACTTAATATTTATTTTTCTACCTCATTCTTTGGAAGAGTGTAATATTGAGGACATTTCAAATCCAAATTTCTCATTTTTAAATGCAACTCGTAGTCTATATTCCCAAAGATTTAATGTGCAGACACTTTGGCAACAGTCCCTAACCCTTGCAGTGCATGTTTTCTGGGTTTTCCTGGCTCAGAACCAGCCTGTGGGTGTACAACTGCACATTGAAGTAAACACTATACAGTAAGGGCATTCAGTCTATAATCTTATATGACTAAAAAGATCACTTGACCCTTACTGGAAGGTGGCTTTTCAGGAAAAAAAAAAAGATAGCCACTAGCAAAAAATGCACACTGTCGTTCATTGTTTATTTGACAGGGAGAGGTTGGTGCGATGGTATCTCTTAAAACCATCTGTGAAATTTATCTGTGATTTGTGGGAATGCTGACACTTTCTGAGGCAGTCACTCCCCCAACATTAGATGCAGGGGGGCCCTAATCAGTCACTGTTCATCACCAACTTCCTCAAACAGTCCATAAAGATGTCAGGAAAAAGCAAAGAGCAGCAACTCCCTGATATATGACGGTTAAGCTTGTTTGTAAAAGCAGCTTATGCTTCTTCCTCTTAGAGCCACTCAGGATCAGCTAAAGAAAAAATGTGCCTCTGCCAGGCTTCTCCACATTTGAGGAAACGGTCAGTTAGTAAGAATTATCCCATTTTACCATGAATGCCTTTGAACCAAAGTAACCTAGAAGAAAAGGTGAGCAAGATTTCTTGGGATTTCCGTCATCAGCTACTTGTAAAACAAACAAGGAAAAGCATTTCTGATTCCTGGAAGAGATGGGAGTAAATACACTATGTAAAAGTTTATGGAAGTTACAGTAAATAAGTCACTGTTAAATTATTTAAATGGTATTTCAGTGTGTATTTTTTTCTGTAATTCTTCATATCATTTATTCAAAGTCACATAAATCTCCTGCACTTAAACGCCTGACCAACAGATGTGAAAACAAAGCACTTAAAAGTGTCACATGCACTGCAGCTCAAACACAGCGTACCCATTAAATACACATGCTGTCAGCTAGATACACAAATGGCCGTTTTCATAATGCCGACTTGCGCACATGCTCTGCACCCACACACCAAAAACTCCCGATAACACACGCAGGACATAAAAGCCCCATTCAGCTCTCACATGCATGAGCCAAACTCTTTGGCCCACACATGCTCGGATACACTCACATGTTCGGCAGCCTGTGGGTCAAGCTGTCCCTGCAGCGGAGGCACAGCGAACTGGATCTTCTTTGGACTGCTGGGCTCCATTATTACTGACTGAGAGATAGAAAGAAAGACAGAGGGAGAGAGAGAGAGTGGATGTGTGTGTGTGTGTGTGTGTGTGTTTGTGTGTCAAGGAGGGAGGGAATAGAGAGGGAGTGTGGGAGTGGTCTCCTCTTGGCCGATGTGGTCCATTATCACTAATTGACAGATGTGAAGAGCTAGAGAGAAAATGACGGGGGGGGGGAAGAGCAGCCAAGTCAGTGCAGTGTTTTCCGAAACAACATCTGATATTTACTGAAATAGTAAATTTACTCAATTATTTCCAATCTCATGATATTATTCTGTTCATAGAGTGCAGATGTGCCTGGCCTGATCTCACATGTTCACTTGAGCTGCTTCAATTTACAGCTTTCACTTCACCACTAGAGGCCACATTTAGCCCCAGATCAATGCTATTTGAGGTCTGTTACGCTTGAAAGTTATAAGAGTATGGCATTGATTTTATGATGGAAAAAGACCATGTGACCAAAGATGGCAACAACAGGCCTCCATCGTAACTTTTTCTCAATTTAGCAACATGAGTAGGAATCTGCAGCCGTGCTCTGCTTAGGCATGGTGGAGGAAAATACTAGCACTGAGGTTTTGCAGGTATATCTATCATGGCCACCTTATTAGTTTAGAATGCTTGTATACAGATAGATGACAACTTAAAGGGAAAGCCTGAAACCCTTGACCCCTGCAGGGAGGATATCTGGTGAATCTGTTATGCTACATTTGGTTTGGGTGCTCTAGAGTGAAGGTTTGCTGCAAATCGATGCAAAGCTGCTCTGAGGGATCGCATTTATTCCATAATGAAATATTTTTGCCCTGATGGGAGTCGTCTCTTTCAGGATGACATCCATGGGAAACGAGGATGAGGATGAAAACGGCGTGAATCATCTGCCGTGACCTTCACAATCACCAGATCTCAGCCCAGCAGAACACCCGTGGGAGATTTTGGACCAATTTTATTTTAAACCATCACTGAAACACAAAACGACAAGCTGTGCTTTATGCCTCCACAGAATTGATGCCAAGCTGCACTGAAGCTGTTCTGGTGTTACATGTTTATTTTATAAAGCTGCTACAATAATTATTCCATTTATTTTGTCACCTGTCTGCATCTTTTCATTTAGAAACCAAGAAAAGAAAATCTTAATGAGATGCTAACGTTTTGCTGCATACAGAGTTTTGCCACCAATGAAAGATTTCATTAGTTTGTGTAATTTTTAAATGGTGAAATATAAGAGGAAAATGCACGAGTTTAAATAATACATTTAATGTGTGGTGAAGTTATAGTTTTGGTGTTTGATTATAGAAGCACGTATAAAATCATTTTGTATGTACTGAGGGAAGTTAAGAGTAAAAAAAAAAGGAAGAACGGGGATGAAGAAAAGTCATCCTCCCCTTTGGTTCTCTGCAGATCTGCAGCATTTACATGTTCTACCCCCAACTCTGAAAAAACGCCATCCTTTACCATCAATGACATCAGTGCATGTTTGTGCGTGTGCTGGCAGCCATAGTGGAAACAGTGTGTCCCAGTGGAGACATCTGGAAACTTGGTGGCTACTGTAGGTGGAACAAACCACACACGCATCATACAAAGAGCCTCTTGTTAGTTTTTTCATGCACTTGGAAACCGTCCAATGCTGTTCTGTGAAGGTGAGACAGAAAAGACTGTTGTGTTATCTGCAGCGTACAAGCACCTGCATTTTACCCTCGTAACAGTCGAGTTCCTCTGTGCGGGGCATGACGTGAGATCACGGGTAACATGTTCTACCAGAATTGCTGTGAGTACTTGAGAGGATAATGGAATACATTAAGGAAAAAGGAAAGAAATGAGAACATCTGACAGATCGCTAAGAGCCGATCTTATCTTGGTCTTTTTAGCCATTTAAGCAATGCAGTATCCATCAGTCAACTCGTTTTGGTCCAAAGTAAAAAAAAACAACAAATTTTTAGATGATATTATCCACTGTAAGAATAATAATAAATATCCAAGATAGATGTAGAATAAAATAATCAAATATGCTAAAAACCCTCAGTCTCACTCTCACCCACAAAACACCATACACATTACAAAACCTTTGGTAACCACACCAACCCAAATAATGTATTTATAGATAGATATAGAATAGTGGTAGGACTACATGCCTTTAGAGCCAGAGTCTTAAGTTCGAGTCCCAGTATATCCAGTAAGGGGCAGAAACAAGAAGGCGTTGGTAGGCAAGAGATGAAAATGGGGTGCTCTTGAAATGGGTTGCAAATGTTGTCTATAGGCATCTTTCATACCCAACAGCCGCATTGATGACAAAAACTATTAGCAATAGTCTTCTTCTGACATTTGTAAGAAGGGACTGCTCTCACGACTGGACAAGGTACAACACAGGTTGGGGGGAGAGAGAGATATAATCACTCCCACCTGAGATGTTATTTATCAAGACTACCATAATAAACCCAACATAAAAATCAGAATAAAGGATAAAACAAATGTTGACTGATGCCGATGAAAGAAATTTCGTAAGAATGTGTTGTGGTGTATCTAGAAACTTTAGACCAGAAGGAGACACGGCGAGAAAATATTACTGGATCCAGGCATATCATTAATGCTCAATGTGTAAATGTCTTTAATAAAAATCTATACAGCATTCCAGGAGATGACATGAATTCTTCAGGGGTTGCTTCAGAGCGAGAGTCCAGCATTAAAATCTGCCAGATACAGAGGCACTGGCTTTGGTGAAATCTTGTGAATGCAGCTGAAAGTAGCAGAATTCTTCATGCAGGTCATCAGAATTCAGATTTACAGCTTCATCACGAACACTTTCACCTCAAGACAGAACAATTTATTACAAGCTGGTACTTTCTGAACCCTGGTGTTTGAAAAGGCCTCCCACCTACAACTGATAAAAAGTAACTCATTTCGTCATCGTTTTGACGGATACTTTACTCAAGGACAGACTTCCCAAAATGACATTTAACTAAAACTGTAATATAAAAAAAAAAAAAAATACAAATTTGATGATCGAGCAGTCCTTATGTGACTCTCTCTTGTTTATAAGCCCCTCCTACTAGATGAGGTTTCCACGCAGGATTCAAACAAAACGGTCCTTTACGATTGCATGCATGTGATGTATGCAGGGGAGGTCCACTCTCCCAGACAGGATTATTGCATTATTGTTTACAATGACAAAACATTAATTTAATGCCTTATATTCACATTTCTTTATTGGTTTTTTCACATGCTTAAGGGCTGTATACAACACTGCAGGGCACTGTATTACCAGGGCAGCTGTGTACTGCTGTAATGACTCCAGTGTGTGTGAGGAAAGTACATACAGTAATAACACTGGCATGGTTGTGCAGTAAGTGTTTGCAGATGTGTGCAGGATGCATTTGGAGCCTGAAGAGGTGCATATAACATAGGAAACGTGTGCAGAGGTGGAGGTATATATTGACCCTGACGTACAAGAGGAGGAATATAGTCAGGCTGAAGATGTGGTGGCTGCCGCGGGCATGGGAATGGTACAGAGGGAGGGATATTGTCTCTTCTTCCTAAGGTTCCCCCTCTCTCTGGTCGGCAGATGGTGTAGGTGGTGTCATTCTTGTGTTTTTGGGGCAGCACCTGGAGGTGAAGGGTGGAGGTGACTTGGCGAGGGTGGGGCAGGAGACTGACAGACTTGGTTAGCTGAGGTCTTTTGAGCATCCCCTTCATCCTTCCCTTATCCTCTGGAGTCTCAGATGTCTCCGCTCGCCTGACACCATCCTGCCCTCCAGAATCAGGTTCAGCAGTGTCTTCACACACAGGCCTCACTGGTGTCTCTTCTACGACGTTCCCAGTAAAGCAACTGCTGCTGGAACTGGACTCTGCTTCTGAGTCGGACTTAACCTCTGATCCAAAGTCTTCGTCAGATGAGCTGGACTCACTCCTGCCCCCCCACCGAGACCTGAAGTGTGCCTTGTGGTTGTAGCAGTCAGGGCAGCGAGATAGACTCTGGAGTTAGAATAGAATAGAATAATCCTTTAATTGTCCCACAAGGGGAAATTTGGTTGTATCAGCTCACTTTGGAGTAGAATCAGCAGGAGATAAGGACATGCATGCAGGTCCTCCTCCTACAACACTGAAACAATGCTGGCAATTCCCCAGATTTACACAAATATTGTAGAAAAGAAAAAACATTTAACCTGTTAAACTGGACTTGTTAAAACTGTTAAACTAGCCTCAGTATTAACATTTTGACTGCTGCCATGTTTGTTAGGATCCAGAAGCGATCATATTTTGACTAGTTCCAGGACTTAAAAATGAAGCCGAATTTGGCCCTAAAAGTGAGTCAATCCCAACAGAAAATACAAGGCCCACCTTTTCTGGATTGATAAACTCTGCTTACCTATGTTACTGAACTTGAGCTCGCATACGATAATACGGTTTGTAAGAGCATGGAAAAGTCGCTGATGAAATGAACTCAGGCTTCATAGATACAGAAGGAAAATTCCTATTATGGTTAAGCCCCACCCCTTCATTTTCAAACCTGTTGTTTACAGGAGCAGCCAATCAGAGGACACTGACTTAAGGGAATTGAGGGCTGAAACAAACCTTTGTCTGACAGATGCAGAATATTTTGAGCTGTGAGTCATACAAACTCTACCCGGATACAGTCTAAGAATTTAAAAACCAACAGATCTCTTTCAAGCGGCAGTTTCTCACATCATTTAAAAACATAGGTTAATACCTTTGCTTGTTTTTGACGATGTGCTTGATTGTCCTCAGTGTTTTGTTCAGAATCTGAGTGAAGTCCTCCAGACTCGTCTAGAAATCAGATGGAGAAGAAAACGTGAAGGAAATAAGATGCACAACTACACGCATAACAAAAAAGAAAGACAGGTGGTTATTTGTGTTAGGGTTTTTTTGAAGCTACAGTTTGTTGAATTCTAGATTCTACATGAATATACAAACTGCACCATCACCTGTGGCCTCTCATTACACAACATTTGAAAACACCTGTCCTACTTCAACACACTAGCAAGAAGTTGAACGGTTACATTTTCTTAGCTGACAATAAAAAAAATACTACCAATCCATTAATAATCCGTATTAAAACTCTGAACCCAGTTGGAAAACAAACCAGAGAAATTACACTTATTTACTAGTGTTTGAGCAAAATGTTACAAATCACATTTAAGTGACTGAGTCTGGGCTCAAGTACTTTGAGATTAACAGGAATTCACATTTGCTATTTGAGAACACATGAGGTCATGTTCATTTTGATAACTAATGAATGATTTCAGGCTCAGGATTTTTTCTGTCAAAGAACAAAATATGTCCTCACTCACTTTTCAGCAGTACAGACTGAGCAGATTAATTGGTGAGAAAAACAGTCCTAACCAATTTCAGCTGTTAACCCTGCGTAATGTGTGGCATAGTAAAGTTTGTACTTGCTACTTCTTAAGATAACAAGTTATTCATTTATCACAAAGTGCACTCACCCATGCTTCCCGGTTCTCTGCCTCAGGTCCGGGATACTTCTGCTTCACACACCTGCGTGTCTTTGTGCAAATGAGCGTCAGGTGAGTGCGTCTTGATATGTGCTGTTTGAGGAAGAGACACACTGAGCTCATCGCTGTCAGAAAATAAATAAAATAAAGAGCCGACTTCCAACCACAGATCGACACACACAAGCACATATGCATACACACACCTTTTGTAAACACGCAACAGGATCATCGTCCAGGCCCCTCCACAACCTCCCACCAGCTGAATAAACACAAAGCTCCTATTAAAAGTCTTAAACTGCTGTTGATTTATGGGCAGGTAGTATATGCATGCGTGTTAAAGGTCTATATAAACCCTTAAATATGAAAGGGAAAAAAAAAAACCACCTTCAGTTTCAAACATTTCTTTATTCAGACAATGAAAATCTGATCTGATACACCCACTTACGTCACTCAGAGACAGTTAAGGCATGAAAATCTCTGCTGGTTTGGCCACAACAAATACAAAATAATCCGCAAGAAGAAAAAAAGAGATTTGGGAGTAACTCAGGAGTGTAATATTTAAGCTTCTCTCTCTCACACATCAGAGCTTGTTGACTGAGGTGTTTAAGGGCAGGATATTTATTTATTTATTTATTTATTTGGGGGGGGGTTCCAAAGAATCCTGAACACATGAATCTACAGCTAAACAGTTTGCTTAGCATGGAAATGTGGAAAGGGCGGCTTACATGTAACACAGTCAGCCTCCCCGTACTTGCAAAGATGACTCATTAAGATATGGGCGGGATCTCAATATCTGGATGCCAAAGAACAGCAAGAAAAACATCTTTATATTTATTTTAAAATTCATATATCTAGAGTTTGTAATATTCCTCTTACATAGCTCAGCAAATATATTCTGATGAGTTCTCTCCCCTGCATTCATCAGCTCATTGTTTATGCATGGTCTACGGCTTCTCTGGGCACAGGGGCATGGATGCTCCCACCTCCTGCTCTTTGAGAAATTCCCAAACTAGCCGAGAGCCACAATCTCTCCTGAGTGTGCTGGATCTGCCCCTGGAAGTCCAAACTATGTCAGCTGGCTCTTTCAATTCAGAGAAGCGGTGTCGACTGTATAAGCTCACGACCATAGGTAAAGGTAAATCTAAAACTTTTTTAAAAATTCACTGTATTAATAAGGGTCCTGAAAGTGATTCAATAATAAAATTTTTTTTAAAAAAAGTCCAGTTTTTGATCGATTTAATCTATCATCTGTGTTATTGGACAGAAAATGGATCATATATGAGGCCCAAATATGTCCCGAACCAGCCGGTGGACCACGTCAGTAGTCAGAGAAGCAAAAGCTCATTAAGCGTTGTCGTCGTGCTATCAAGTCTGAAAATTTGGCAAAATGTAGACTTTATTTTAGATGGGCCCACATAACGATCAAATACAGCTCTCTGCAGATGAGAGTAACATCACAGGTCAGTGACAGGACATGAAGCTAACATCCAAAGTTTAAACTGTGTGCAGCTCTGATTATACACAGGAAATGCACCTCTGGGTCTTCATCACAGAGAGTGAACAGACATTCGAGTAGAATAATACACAGAAGAAAAGTTTCAAGAAGTTTTCATATATTTAAGGCTGCAGCTTTCAAAGTTTCACAGCCATCACTGTTTCCAACACGCAGTACCATTGTCACTATAATCCACTTATTTAGTTCTCAAATATTTTTTATAAAAAAAGACTCTGGAGTGCAAAAGTCACCACATGAAAGAAAAATGGATGTTAAGGGAAAGTACTGTAAAGTTACCAGGAAAACTGTCTGTTTCAAAACACCCACAAAATTCACAAAGCTTAGGATACAACAGACGTGGTCCATCTAAATTGGCACGAGTGACGTTAATGTAAACACAAACGCACTACGGCATCAAATGTTTGGGGGTTTTTTTCAGTTCAGTATTCTGCCGGGAACGTTGGTGAGCATCACTGTGTTTGCTTTGTTTTCACATGACTACTTTTTCTGTGTTTGAACAACAATGCAAGCGTGGCGTGGCGTGACACGACACTGTGCAGACTTCAAAGGTGATGTGTGAAGATTTGGGACAGCCTTCCTCGTCTCTCACACACGCACACAAATCTAAATGTCTTCTTCCACTCAATGTGTCACTTTGACCTTTAGAGTGTCTGAGCCACAGAAAATTATATATCTTGTGTTTTTTTTTAATTTTCTGGCGGTGAACACTGTTTATCCTGCTGTGGATACTTTCTGCAGGCAGTTTTTCAAATGTCACAAACACGTTTTTTCCTCCTTGCAGCTCCTCAGAAAGAAATTTACAAAGACAACACTTTGCAAACAATACATCATCGTCTGAAACGTTAAGCCTTACATATTTTTAAAGTTTGATAAGGTTTTGGGAATCAACATGTGAAAATCAAACACTGTAAACTTTTGATCACCAGTGTGGCTGCAGTTTTTAGATGACTGCTGCTGTCTCCTTGCACTCGCTCCTCTGCGACGCTGCTTGATCGCCTCTCGTGTGTCTGAACAGTTATACTTCTCATGATTTTATACTTTCAGGAAGTGAACACAGGCACAGGGAGGCAAATCTGGGGAGTTAGACAGGTGGTGAGCGAAGCCTGAATGTCTGTGGCTGAAAATCCCCACAGTTCAGATCGTTGCATCTGAATCTCCTCCCTCAGACACCTCAGGATGTTACAGCAGAACTCTGTATCCACAGCCTTGTGCTGGGGAACGAATCCATGATGCACAACCAGATAAATGTTGAAAAAAATGCAGAGCATTCTTCTAAGTTTCCTCAACCTGATGTGCTGCCTTTGGACTTGGAAACTCTGGTCTTTGACTGGAAACTGCTTGGTCATAGCTAAAGATTCAGCTCTCATCACCAACGATGATCATCCACAAACTCTGGATGAGTTTAAAGTAAAAGTTGATGTTCGTTCTTTGCACTAATGTGAGGTCCATGGTGAAGTCACACAGTGAGAGTGGTCAGAATGGAGGAAAGAAAAAGACATGCTGAAAATGACCTTAAAGAGGAGATCAGATCACAGTAAGGTTCAGATAAGGTTTTTGATTTTTACGCTTCAGTTTCCGGAACCTTCTCCAGTTTTCCGTGAAGCTGAAAATGACAAAAACAAAAGAGAAACGATGTTGCCAGTGTTGGAAACGCAGGACTGTAAAACAGACTATATGTCAGTTTATACACAACACTTTGGTTCTCTCATTTGAAAAGGCTGGATAACAAGTGTGACTGACTGGGATGTGGCATCTGTGGTGACTCTCATTCACAAAAGGCAAAGTTTTTATCCGCCACCATTCGGTTGTTTTGAAGAGAATTTTGATGAACAAGTGATGAATGTGACCAAGAAACAGAGGACAAATAACTGAAAAGTCGTAAGTCTACGAGTGCACCTGGATGATTCTCCTTTCTGACTTTAGTAAATTACAAAACGACCTTCACAGTTCCACAAAGACTAGGCAGCACAAAGAGTCGCCCCCTGCTGGCAATCAAAAGGAATGCAGGTTGAAGGCACTTCCGCCTCAATTAAATCCCAAAACTGAATCCATCTTCTAAAACATCTCCTAATCTGACACAGTGACCACACACACAAATATAATATGATCTGAGCTAGCATTAATGCTTCAGTCATGTCAGTGACCGATTGCTAAAAAGCTCAGTTTTCATATTCACCCTAAAATGAGTGGTGTCAGGGTCACATCTTCAAGGAAATAATTAAGAAATTCAAAGATTTGCTCACATTCCCAGCTAGATTATCTGAAATTTAGTATTTCTGTTCACTTGTCTTAGGAGTTTAGGTGAAACTCGGCTCAAAACGAGGACAAGATGCAAAGAGCGTAACACGGTCCAGGCTGAGCATGACCGCCTGGAAAAAGAAAGGTGGCAGCTTTAATGCAGGTGATTATGTTTTGGCAAACATCTGAAGACACAAGCAGACTCGTTAAAGCAGGGACGAAGAGTGATGGAGAACTTTTTTTTTTTGCCTTTGCTTTCGGCAATGAGCTCAGCTGGAGGCCTGGAAGAAGAACACAGAAGACGGGAGGAAAGAAGTAATTTGGGGCTCTTTAGGAAAAGCCAGAAAAATAGATGCTTTTGCGTCACAGTTGCTGGATTTCAACATCCTGTCTAAGTGCCACTGAACAAAACTTTTGGCTCTGCGGTCAGTTTTTGGATGCACAAACAAACCTCAGAACACAACAAACCTTCAGTACATTCTGATTAAAGCAGCCCTGGCATCTAATTGTTCCAGAAACCAGGAATTCATAGTTCATCGTGTCCACACTGCGTCACGGAGCTGCCTGATACAATCATCTGGTTCCAGCTGAGGAAATTCGCTGGATCGACTGGGGATACTTACAATTTTCCTTGAATCCAGGATGTGGACTTCAAGTACAACTACATGACTACAAAAGTATCCATGGTTAAATCTGAAAGGTTAACAGTGTGGAGTCCTCTCACCTCATCAGGTTAAAGCTTCATATAATTCATACTCTCAATTTCTCGAACTTCAGCTTGGGACTGAATTGCCGTCAGTCTAGGTCTAGTGTATACTGTGCAACTGAAAGACTTCATGAAATGAAAGCTTATGAATCCAAAGTGCTTTTGTTTGGCAATTAGCTGAGAAACAGCTTGTGAAGGACGTTCCTACAACGAAAATGTTCATCCTTGGTGTAATGGTGTCAGTATCTCAGCAAATAATGATCTGGTGGCGTTTGTGACATCTTCTAGAGTTTATCAGGGTTTGGATGGGCATCTTGGGGTCTTCAGATGGAAAGGTCAGTGTCTGTGTCAGTGGGCGTGGTCTTTGGGCTCACACTGCCTGCCCTCTCCTCGGGAATGGAGGACGAGTCACCGTTGAGAGCAGGCAGCAAACCTGGAAAACAAAACAAATATATTAACAGGTGGGTCACTTTTATTCAGGATTCTCAAAATCGAGTTACACAGCAGAAAGTGCAGAAAGCTACAAAGAACGTAGTTAAACCACTCACTGAAACAGCCATTGGTAAACTCAACCAAGGGTCATACAGGCTTTAATTCTCAGTACTGAATACAAAACATGTTTTCAGCTCAGTGGTAAGAATTCATATTGAATGTAACTATACCTACTTATACTAATTAGCTTATATAATATCACTTAAAAACGTAATGTGTTTAAGTCTCTCTACTATTTTCTCTTTATTTAGTTCTGAAGTGTCACTTATGCAGACTATAAAAAGATGTTATGTCTTACGTTCAGTATCATAAACCGAGCTGTCAGAGTTGGTACGGTTTCTCCGCTGAGTTGACCTTTGACCTCCACTCACGTACTCCTTCAGTACACCTGACCTGAGGAGGAGGAGTAATGAAAAAGATTGAGAGAAACTGAAAACTTTCTCACCGCAGTGAGTGTTATTTAACAAGTGTGTCTTACAGCTGTAACTTAATGGGGAGGTTTTGTGAACAGTAAAAAAAAAAAAAAGTCATCCACAAATATTTACCCCTATTAGCCAGAAGGAGAACAAAACTACCAAGAAGTAAAAGGAAGAGATGTTTGGACATCTCTGCTCAGACTGCTGCCCACAGGACCCTGACCCAGATAAGCAACAATGCAAGCTTTAGCTGCCCTCAAACAACAACAATGGAGAATCTCAGCTGATAGGATTTAGCAACACAGTGTCAAACAAATTCTTCTCCAAACTTGAAATATTTTCAACTATTGTGTGTTTGTCTGACTTCCCAATACTGTGGTCCCCGCCAACCTTGACACAAACATGGTTCAGGCGGTTAGCCACCGCATACAGCATTTGCTTCAGTATTGTTTAATTTCAGTCATGGCATCTAGTGTCTGCTTTATTTCCAAATCTAAGAAATGGACATTTATACAGAAACTTCTTTTTCCCCCAAATCATTATGTTTTGAAATTATAGAACTACACTGCTGATGCAGCACAGCCTGTCACGCATCTGCACTGCAAATGAGCCTTTGTGTGGCAAATGTTTATGTCTAGATTGGAAATAAGGCAGACACTAGGTGCCATGGTCATTAGAATTATGGAAAGGCAGCTTATTAGGTGCTTTTCCATAATACTAAGACTGCCTTATTTCAGCAATTACCAATCACATTTGATATAACAAGCAAAAGTGACATCGGACTCGACAGTCCTGTCCAGTTAGAGATCAAACTGCAATCAGAATCGTGCTAAATTATATAAATAAACATTTCTAATGCTAAAGAAGTCCTGAACATGTGAGAAGAAATCTTACATATTTATACGAAGCTTCCAACTGATTCCAGCTTAATTATCAGTTGTTGAAACAATAACAAAATCTGTAAAAATAAATGAACTATCTAGACTGTCAACTGCTCCTTTACAGAAAGCAAGTTTATTAAACTGATAACTGAGTTAGTTATCAGCTGATCAGAGTTAGTTCAGTTATTATTAATTATTATTGTGGTTTTTCTTATTATTATTATTATTATTATCAATAAATAATATCATTACTATATTCAGGGTTTGTTGAAGAAAAGCAGCCAGTGAGTGAGTTATGTGACCTGGGATTTCTGCAGTCCGACTACAACAGAAAACCCAGAGTTGCCTCCAGTTTTCCATTAAACCTGCTTCTGGAGCAAAGCCCCGCTTCCATCTGAGACGATGCAGGAGCATTTGCTCATCACACAATCAGACTCCAAAACACAAGAACATAAACAAGCTGTCGTTACTCATTAAATAAATGCAATATATAGTCTTCATAATACTGTACAATTTCCACTCAGACCACTGGGCTGCTTCATAGCCACTCACTGTCGTAAACATTATTACTGCACTCATATTAATCTGTCAGTCTTGGGACTCAGCACTATCACACTGGACTTTACAGGTTGTGCTGTAAATATTTAGTTTCATCCTGATGTCTCATGTGTTCATTTGCACATCAAACCTCACAGAAAACCTTTTTTTTTCCACAATCATGAGTTTAAATTTTATCGCTTGCTTTGCTTTTTGTCCTCTTTACAGAGAATGACATCCTCTGAAAGTTAAATGAACCAGCAACAAAAATGAAGGGATCTTTAAATCCTCACAGTCATTTTCATTCAGCAGATATGAGAAAACCTAAAGAACTAGTTTGGTTTCTGAGAAACTGGTGAAGAGCCGTTACATTTGATTTGTAAAGGTCAACAACAACAAAAATTTAAATATTCAGGTTTTTTTTGCATGGTGTGTGAACAGTTTCCCCCCAAAAGATCCAAGACATCAGTACAGACGGAGTAGAAACTGTTGTAAAGCGGAGTGACGTATGAACACTTAACCTTGAAGTAACCAAGTGAGGTGTTACAACTTTTCACAGGTGTGACAGGGGTAATGGGTAGTTAGGTGGGTCATTTATATTTTGTTTTAACACTGTGGACAAATTTTTGGTGTAATTTTCTATGTGCAAAGTGATGTTTCGCAGTGAAGTGCTGCTCACGAGAACTAGCAGACACCTGAGACCCAAACTCACGATGAAAACAACTAAACTGACATTTTGTGAGGTTGACGCTTTTGTGCCCAAAACATATTACTGATAAACAATAACTGAATATTGTCATGGGAAAAGTAAATAGTATAGGCATCATTAACACATAAAGCTGTAAGGAAAAAGTAAAAAGGTTTCCTGTACAAAATCTAATGGAGTCATAAATGAACCCACTCAGTCTTTTCGGTGGCTAAAATAGCAGTCACTTGAGGGTTTAACAGGTTTTACTTGTTTTAATAATACCTGCTGTCTATGCTAGGCATTAATGTCAGCAGATTTTAAATCACTAAAGTGAACAAATGAAGTTGAGTCCGATAAATATCCTAACTTCTATTTCATTCTTATGTGATGCAGCAGTCGTCAGCAATTGAAAAAGCACTTACTTTATAATTTTAACATCTCCCAGTAACAGATGTATGTAACACCATTACTTTAAAAAGTGTCCTGCCATGCATCTCAGTACAACCATTGGAACGAGACTTTTTACAGAATCCATCAAGAAAACATGATATTTTTTTTTTTAAAAAGGCAATCATGCTACACACAAAACAAGTCAATTTGTTGAATTAGCTCTCAGGTAGATGGTGACTCTGCTGTCAGAAGGTGACGTGTGTGCAAAGCACTGCACACGGACTATAAAATGCCAATATGTGACAATAATAATCAGTGTGTGATGTGTCCATCCTCCAGTACACTGTGAGATCTCTTCAGTACCTGCTAAGTCTACACTGAGTTGTGCCAGTTCAGATTGACATATTTAAAATACTACATTTCTGCCTCCTGGAGGCCAAAATCAGCATTCCAGTAAACTGGATTTTTTTCTCTTTCTTATTTGGAGAACAGAACATCAGATTGAAAGCTTGTACAAATTCAAAAACTTTCACGTAAAAGTCTGCTTCCTGTCCAGGATGATTTTTCAGTGTCTGTACTGAATAATTTTACTTTAAGTAGTAATACTGAAACAATGTTGTGCATGTTTGTATCTACTTTATTGTTCTTTAACTTCCTCCTAAAAATTCTAGTTTGAAAACTCTGATTGAGTCTTTGCCTCGGACTAAACGATCCACCCTAAAACCAGCTTATTACTTTTAAATCTGTGAAAACGCATTGAATTGAATTGCTTTTAAAGGCAAGTTGTAACACAATGCTGTAACTGCAAGGCATTGTGTGCATGACATTATGATTGGAGGCTGAGCCTGCATAAAAGTTTGAAGCTAGAATCGCCCCTGGTGCATCCAAGGTTTTTTTTTTTTCCACGTAAAGATCTTTGAGCAACATGTTTGTAATAAATATGCTTCATAAACAAACTTGAGTATAGTCTACAAGAAACTTTAAATGTGACTTTGAATGAATTTAAGTCACCTCTTTTTTGTTACAACTTTAAATTCATGATGGTTTGTGTACGTGTTTCACTCACCTGTCAAAGCTGTATGTTCCAGGGTGACTGATTGACCGCTTCATCTGTACAGAAAGTGACACATTTGGTCATTTAGATTTTTTTTAAGTTCAATTAAAACCTGATAACAATTTCAAGACCTTCACTTTTGTTTTTGTTCTAAATATCTCTGATCCCTCGATGAGCTGTAAAATGAGAAAACATTTAGACTTTAAGCCACTTCGTTAACTTTTTATTTCCATCTGGCACGTCTAAATAAAGACCTGCGTCTTGAGCATTATTGGAATTATTCTGTTGCAGATTAAGATTTTTTTTTATTATGCCTGTAGGTATTGGTATTACAATGTTCAAAGTACAGTGAAAAGAATACAAAATAAGTAAAAGGAAATAAAGTGTCTGAGACTAAAAATGGAAATTGACTGAACAGTTTGATCATTTTTGTGCATTGTGTGAGGGTAACCTGAGTGCCTGGTGCACCTTTCAAAATACAAAACAGAGTCATCACCTTATAAAAAAAGTATTGGTCTGTTTATGAAACTCGAACAAACCGTAGGAATATAAATGAAAAAAATCGGTCGTGTCAACAAAGATACAAAATTGTATTTTATTTTACGGAGGATGTTTCTTCTTGAATATTATTACTCATGTTGTATTAAACATCTTTTTCTACTGTAACTGAATAATTAAACAACTTTTGAGTTAGAGAGAATAGATATTATTGACCTTTTTTTTATTAATCTAAACCTAAATTACAGGCTTTTGATTAGCTAGAGAAAGTGAAATTACCCTTTCAGGAGGTCGGAGGTCAGGAGTCAAACTGTGATTGGCCAGGGTCATACACTCCTCCAGAGTCCTGATGAAAGTGGCACATGTGGCACTGAGGAGCGAGGCCTGAAGACACACAGACGAATAACCAATCATCTTTTTTTTTTTTACTCACATATCTTCAAGCTTCAAACTGAGAAATAATTTTGATTTAATTTTAGACATCTTTCTGCCTGATGGGTCTTTTGTGTGCACTAAAGGTTCCTTTTTTTTTTTTTTTTAAATGGTAAAATGCCTCCTTTTTAAATAATTTCTTTCACATATACACAATAAAGCAAAATAATATCATTTAAGTACTGAAAAAAGAAACTCTTATAATTTGAGTCTAACTTTGAAATATTGTAAAGATAAGTTTGAGGTAAAAAGAATCCCCGTTTCATACCTCAGAAGTCGGCGCGGTCTCTGAGTCAGCGCTGTACTGTGATTGGATTGTTTGGACCTGCTGGACGAGGAGGTCACAGTACAGGCGGAGTTCAGACATTTTTGTCTTCAGACAGTCTGGACCTGACAGACAGAAGTGTTGGGTTCAGGAAACTCTAAATGATGCCACTGTTCACTTCTGTTTTATGTTAAAATATTTAAACAACTAGATTTCCATGATAATGTACATGGAAGGGTTGCAGAGTTGGACGACCCTTCTCCATGTCTTATTCGATTTTGAGATGACCAATAGTCAATATCACTATCCACACTCCGTAATGCATATTGTGTGGCTCCCATTAAATAAAATCAAAGAACACAACAGTAGTCTCTCACAGGATGAAAGACACTGAGCAGCTTATTTTGCAATTCCAGAATGAAATAAAGTAATATCAACAGGAGAATCATGTTCACATACAATAATGAATGGTTAAGTCTGTAATTAATGACCACAGGTGGACAGCTAAATGGCTAAAATGATAAGTCATAGCTGAGGATGCACCAAGGAACCTGGGAATCATTCCTTACAGTGTTTAAGGTAGACCTGAGCATTGTACGGCCCTGGCCTCATGTGGCCTTCACCACACAGCTGTCAAATAGCTCAACCTGGGCAAAGCGTTAAAAATCGTCTGGGGCCTGAGGGCAGAAATTTATGAGATTTTATGAGTTTTATGAGAAGAAATGTGAGGACATTCCAGAGCTCCCAGCTGCAAAAAGACAGCTCTTTGATTTGCTGTTGATGCAACTGCTGTTGATGCAACTGTCCTTCACTTTTCCACCTCATACTTTGATCCTGACTGAGTAAAATAGTAAAGCATTTTGTATAAAGTTAAAGGTCTTTAAAATTTTTCAAAAACAATACAATTTGTTCGGTTTGTTTTGGGAATGTTGATTAAACAGTTATGAAAGGCTGGAGTTTTTATTATGTCTATATCATGTTTTTATTGCCTAATTGTAAAAGCCACTGCTACTGCTACCAGCAGCAGTTTATAAAGAGATAAAATTAATATTGAGCACAACTAAATTTAACTCATTGGTGTAGCCCTTCACAACAAAACCAGTTTCTTGGGGAAAATAATTGTCCATCCTGGTTTAAGGCAACATCAGGCTTGACCTAAATATTGCTTTCCTAACTTTAAAAAATAAAATAAAACTAAATATAAAACAAGACAATACATGCAATACAAACATTACTAATCTAGTTTGTAAGATAAAAAAATAACACCAGGACCAGGTTATATAAAACAATCTCATTAAGATGCTGCATACTGCTGTCATCTGCAGTTGCTGTTTCTCCTTTTTCTAAACCTCCTCATTTAGCAAACAAATCATATACAGAGCTGCCAATAGATAGCAGAAGTGAAATATTTAATCAAGCTGTTTATAAGGTGCTGTTACTGTAAATGTAACAAAAAGTGTAATAAAACTCTCACTTTATATATTGTCTCTCTGACCAAACACAATGACCGAGCGCGAGAGATAAGCCAAAGAATTACGGTGGTCTGAGTCTTTCAATGGTGTCGGCTCACCTGACCTCAGCTTGCAGTTTTTGTAAACACGCAGATAAAACTGCTGGTGTAGCAGCTGTTAAATATCTCTGAACTGCTAACCATTTCCTCTTAAGTCTCTCTATGCCACATCAGCTGTCCCGTGGCTGACATGTGGTGAAGTACGCACAGAGTAACATTGAACTAGCAGACTGGGCTGCTTGTTCTTTTACTTTGTAATTTATTCTAAATTGTTGCTGACTGAAATGGTTTCCAGTTTTTGTTAGGTAATTTTCCCACGGATCAATCCTGAGAAAAAAGAGCAGACATTGCAGACTTACCTTTGTGTTTGTTACTGTCCAGTGTCCCAGCTTTGGATGACCCCAAAGCCACGAGCCACCTCTGCCTCTCTGCAGCGTTCACAGCTCGTACGTAGAAATGCTGTTCACCAGGGATTATCAACTCTAGACGGGTCGTATCTGTCGGATGAACTGAGACATAAAATATGAGGAGCGTTAGTGTGATGGATATGTTTGCTTTTGTGGCACCATGAGAGAGAATGGGTGAGATATAGAGGAGCTAACCTTTAATGTCACATACGGACATCTTGATGGATCCTTTGCTTCCTTTGCCAACATCGTCCTCGCTGTCGTAATAAGAGATGACTCCGTTCTCTAAGACGAACCAGCGAGGCTGCCATCCTGAAGATAAAAAAACTTACATGTTTAATACAAAAAAAAAATCAATGACAACACTGACTTTATAATTCCATGATTTTTTAGGTTTTATATATTCTCAAAATTGCACCCGAGTTTTGTTTATTTTAAAATGATATTTAGTTTCAATTTTACAGTTTAACATTTGTTTTGTTTTTTTTGTTTTTTTAATTAAAAAAACATGATGTAGCAAAAAAAGGTTGGTTATGGAACAAAAACATGCAAAACAAAAACATAACAAAAACAAAAACAAAAACCTAAACAATTTTTTTTTAAAGATTCTGGCACTAGATTGTGACACAGAGTAAAATTAATTTAGTTGCAGTTTTAAACAGGTAAAATGTGTCTTTCGCAAACCTGGAAATTTCATGTACAGCCTGGACAGTCAGAATTTTCAAGGCCAATATTGATATCTGGTGATCTAAAAATCTGCTATATATGCTGATATTTTTCCCCTTTTTAGACATTTTCCCACTAGTGGGCAAACTATGCACCATCAACATCAATATTTCTCCCGTCACTTCCTTCCTTCCTTTTTAAACTTTCATTTTTTGGCTGTTATCAGTGCTGATAAGGATATATTGGCCACTAATCATCTGTTGTAAACATGAAGTTATGATGGCTCAAAAAATGGAAAAAAAAAAAAAAAGGAACATAAAAAGACTGACCTTGATATTTGCATCTGCTATCAGCCACATTCCTATTTTAAACATTGTAATTTAGTAAGTGGTACATCCCTATTTATTATTGCCCAGTAGGTTTTCTTGATTTGACTGGTCAACAACAAGAGAAGATAGTGATCAAACTCATGAAAGCCACTTTCTGAATTTTCCAACTCTACAAGGCAGAGGACGTTGCTGAATATACTCTATCTTATTGCCTTAACCCGATTGTTTAACATCCACAGATATTCAGTTTACCATTAAACTGACTCTCTGACTGCTATTGACACCCTTTTCTCAACGAGAAGTCGGGGCTCGGGAGAGCCTGAGTGCCCTGGAGGGACTTTCCCTGCCGGTTACACGATGGACGGGTGGCAGAACTGGAGGACCGTGTGCCTGGCGGGACTGTCGATCGAGGACGCTGAAGATATCTACCTATTCGGAACCATGATAACAGGGTTCATGCTGATCGACGTTGGCTTAGCCCTGGTTTATCGGAGAAATAAGAGAGCGGAACTGGCTGTTCAAACCCCCACAAGGCTGCCCACTGGAATCGAAGCGACGGGACGAGGCGCGACCTCTCACAACGAACGTAATATGGTCAACACCTTGGAGACGCTTACAGCTGCTGTGAAGGCTCAAAACAACACCATTGAGCGTATGAGGGGAAACATCAGAGAAGGGCCTGCTCAAAATGAGACCCTTGAGCGACAGTTGGAGAACATCGCGGAACGGATCACTGCAGTTGTGAGGTCTCAGAATCAAAAGACTGACAACACCATGGAACAGAAGTTGGATACCATCATGGGGAGGCTCGCGGCTCTCCAACGGGAGATAGAGAGACCAGTGTCAGAGTGCTAAATTCGCTGCTCGCATAAAGGAGAAATCAACAATATTCTACATTTGGACACCACGGCGCCAGCTGCTCAGGGCTAAGGCTGGAGCCCACCAAAACAACTCCCTGATAACGACTGTGTGATGACTATTCTTCCCATCCCATGAAGGCCACCTGGGTTGGCTGGCTGACTGTTTACTTAGCCTGATAGAGCGAAGGACACTGTCTCCGCTAAACTCTGGACACGCACCCACATACACTTACACTGATAAGCACGCACTCATCCCCCTCCCTTCCAAACGCCTTCGATGCTTGTTTCCTGCGGGGGAAGACGGCGGGTCTGCGCGCCGCGCTGAAATGGTAGCATGGTGTAGGACGTCTGCTGTGTTCCTTCGGATTACCCCCCACCCCCCTATTCATCCCCTGTGGCTTGTCATGTGCTCTAATGTTGTGATGTGGACATTAATGTGCTCTCTGTGCAGAGGAGTTTTTTTGTTTCCTGTTCTCATGCTGTCCTCCCATAGGTTGCCCAGCGTGTGAAGAGGTCTCTTTTTTTCCTCTTGTACTTTTCCCATTGTTGTGTAATTTTTTCAGTGTTATTCTCTGCAACGCTGCCGATCTCCGACTGTATTCCCATGTGATGTCTTTGTTGTGTGTGTAAGTCGGGGGGGGTCCTATTCCTCTGTCCTATTCCTCTGTGGGGCAACCTGCATATGGCCAATAAAGCATTCATTCAATTCAATTCAAATATGACAAAGACAGGGGCCCATACTTAGAGGTTGAATCAGTGCATTTTGAAGCCAAAAATCTTGACCATTTCCTGCTTCAAGTGTCTGAACTCTAACTCTGACTATAACTGTTTTTGGCAAGGGATCATACAATGAAGTGAAAAGGGAAATTTAAGTCTCTTTAGAAATGTCCCTTCAGAGGAGATTGTTCTGATGACATTCAGTTTCCAGCTGACAAAAAGCAGATGACAGTGGGAGTGTTTGAGGTCACAAGCAGTGTATAGTTTGTCCTCTGCCACTATTATTAATAGACATGTTATGCTGGCATCATTAAGGTCAAACACCACTTCAGGTCCTGTTACCATGCAGCTGGTTTACATCAGAAGATACGTCCCTCAGTGGTTGTGTGTGGCTGTCAGTTCTCCTCTGAGCAACATTTAAGTTAATGCTATAAATACATTCACTCAAGTCCTGTATTTAAGTAGCTCATTTGCTACTTTAAACTCTACTCTATTACATTTTAGAGTTTACAGTGATAAACATTTACTACATTTATAGTTCCTTTGCTCTAAACTGGGAGCTTCATTTCTGACATCCTTGGTGTGATATATCCACTAATATTTCCTTCTTAGGTTTAGACACACAAATGTATTTAATTTTATTTACTCTGTGAAGACCCACTCGACCCCACCTTCTTTTCAGTCTATGTGTGTGTTTATTTCCATTGAGCAACACCGGCAACATCTCGGCCTTCTGTGCAGGTCCGCTATTAAAGCTCTTAGAGCTTAGTTGATGTGTAGTTCTCTTCCCTGAGAAACATCCTTTGGATTTTGGTTTCTTGCACTAAACAAGATTCCATACACAAGCACTTTAGTCATCGATTCACTTACACCACTGACCATAACAGCTATACACAGCAATTAGCTCACCTATCTACTTTGTCATTTGATTTGACAAATATAATGCTTTTTAATGGCAGCACGGTGGTTAGCACTGTTGCCGCACAGCAAGAAGGTCCTGAGTTCAATTCCAACATCAGGCCGGGGTCTTTCTGTGTGGAGTTTGCATGTTCTCCCCGTGTTTGCGTGGGTTCCCTCCGGGTACTCCGGCTTCCTCCCACCGTCCAAAGACATGCACTTAGTGGGGATAGGTTAATTGGATAACCCAAATTGTCACTAGGTGTGAATGTGCGAATGAAAGTGAGTGCGAATGGTTGTCTGTCCCTGTATGTTGGCCCTGCGACAGACTGGCGACCTGTCCAGGGTGTACCCCGCCTCTCGCCCTATGACAGCTGGGATAGGCTCCAGCGCCCCCCGCGACCCTGAAAAAGGATAAGCGGAAGCGAATGGATGGATGGATGGATAATGCTTTTTATTGGTATTTGTATGCATCTACCTTTCTGTCAAGCCTGCACAGCCTAGTTTGTGCAACCATGACAACAGGGTTGTCTACTGACTATGACTATGACTACTGGCTCCAGCAAATATGAAATCTACCAAAGCTGAGTTTCATATAATCTAACTTGAGGCCTTTGGATCTGAGGAACGGCTGAGATGCCTTAAAAGCACGTTGGTGCACCGCAAAGAACTAAATGCACTTTCCAAGAAGAAGGTGAATAATTTTAAGACAGCAGCATTCACCAAAATGACCTTGTTTTGTTTGATTTGCAAACATACACCACCACTACCACCAACAACAACTTTAGTTTAATGAAGATATTCAAAACATACTTGTAATTTGTGTAATGTGGCTATTGTAAATTGCTGAATTATTATGACTTTTGCCAGTAAACCTGGCATGCAGTGGAGATTGAATAACTGCTTCCAACTGTCTCTAAAGATCATAACAAACTGACTTTTAAATTCTTCAATGCTTTAATTTAATTAAGCGCTAAATTCCCATGTGTAGGTAAAACGGTGAACATAATAAATGCCAAAACTTGTATTTACTGTTTCTCCACGTCTAATTACTTGGAATACTTTGATAGCTCAGCATTTACAATCTAGTGATGTCTTACATTTCACCATGTCGAAAAGGTATATCATGACTTTTAATGCTTTAACTAAGTTTTTGCAGCAGTACCTTGGCATTGGCATGACGCTGATTAGCAACATAATTCTGACAAAATAAATCCAACATTACATTAATTTACAACCAAAAACAGCAGCCGCACAGTAACATGTACAGTTTTAATTTAATATTAGCTTGTTAGCTAACCTGCTAATTTAGAAACTTGAAACATATATAAAATTGGCTGACATTATTCAATACTAACACGGCTAGTTCAAATCAGTTTTTAGAAAGACTCACCTGTCATGTAGTTCGTCCATTTGTAAAGTATCCCCTCCATGTCTTCGCTTCACATCGGCTAACGTCGCTAGCCTTTTCCGTAGCCAGGCTAGCTGCAGCCGAACACTAGCTATATGTAGCTAACGGTCGCAGCAACCCTTGGTTTTCTGTGTAGCACCGCTGGTTATGTAAAACATGAGTGAAGCGTTTGTGGTTTGTGACAGCTGAATGACAGCGTCAGCGGGTAAAAATAAAGCTGAGGTGTTGGTTTGTTCTGAGCTGCTCGGAAACTCGACGGCTAACTTCTGGCCACTCAGCTGATGGAGAAAAATGTCAACAAACCACCAGCTTCTCTACGGAGTCCCGGAGCAGCCATTCCACATGAACGCAAAAATACAAAAAGGAAATTTGCTTTGAATTTACGCAAATATATTTTTTTTTTCAATTTTATGGTCGTTTCAGTTAAAATATATAATTTTTTCTTCTACATTTATTTAATATCTGTTTTTGTCGCTGATATTTTTTATAAATATTTTATTTGGCAAAATATATTTATGTACGTTCCTAAAAAATGCAAGGCTTGCAAAATGTCATACATACAATTGAATTTACTAAGGTAGAAATTGTGATTTTGTAATACAATTTGGTTTATTTGTAATCCGTTCCCCGATTAATTAACGGAAGAACAGAATGAAGCACTATGATTTTCAAATATAAACAGACTAGTGACACTTTCCAGGCAGCATAAGTTAACGTAATCGGTAATTTAGACAAAGTACCTTACAAAGTGTAGGCAGATCTCTAAAGGAAAACACTAAACAGGAGATTTTTGAGAAGTTTAAACATCTTGAGTAACATCTGAATAATGAACAGCACCTGTAGTACTGTCTTTAGTGAGCTTTTTCTGGAGGGACAGTTGTGTGACTCTGTGATCCGAGCTGGAGATGTTGAGTTTAAAATTCACAGGATCATCCTCTGCAACTGCAGTGCATACTTCAGGTGAGCAGGCCTGTGTTGTTTGGCTGTGGTTTGGTTCTGCATTTATCCTACTTCAAAGCTTTCATGTAACACAGTGCAGCAGGTATTGGGAAGTTTCAATGTTACACTGTACTTTTTGATCACTAGAAATGTTCTGGAGCAATGTTTAGGGGGAAAAAATCAGTCCTGTATTTTTATTTAATTATTTATTTTGGGAGGTTTGTTGGGATACATATATAGTATAGGTTTGTGTTTGACTCCACAATGAGCCTGTAAGAGGTAGTTTGAAAGATTACAGACACTATAAACTGGCTTTCTCATGATATTTCATCAGCACGACAACAGCAGCAGCAGTTCTAATAAATTTGTGCACAAACTGGCCTGCACCAAAAGGACCACATCAGTGGTGATATTAGCTGTGCCTTCACCAGTTTAGCTGAAATTGTATGTCTAAATAGGCAGGTAATCAATTTAGGGCCAGACTGAGAGGTGGCCAATGATATGCCATTTCTGTTGCAGTGGGACATGTCCGCTCTTTCCAATTCTGTCTAGTCAGTAAATTTGATAATGTGAAATTCAGTTATTATATTTGCAGCTATTTAATGCCTGCTGTCCCCTGTCGCCCTAACCCTTTTACTGTATAGGAATATTTGCTACAATGCCTAGACAACTCTATATCTTTCTGTCTGTCTAAACATAGCAGCAATGCTGAATGTTTTTCTGACATGTCTGAATAGATGACCTTAAATAGGAGATTGCCCATTTGAAATCAAATCATTTTAGATTTTTGTTACTTTAATTTCATATCTCTTTGATCACAGCTTGCTCAAGTAAGCATGCAGCTGAAAAATTATACAAATGCTATTTAACTATGAGCTGCACGACATCAGGTACTTTTTAAGTTCCATGACAGAGAGACAATGTGAAAATGCTGATCTGAATCTGCACAGGGATCTCTTCTGCTACAAACCACTACCATCAAACAAGGTCTACAACTTCCCCACTGTGTCTCCAAAAGCAATGAGCCTCATTTTGGAATATGCCTATACCCAATCTGTTGTGGTGACGGAGGACAATGTACTGGAGCTGTTGGTGGAAGCAGACAACTTTATCGTGACTGGCGTCATTCAAGCCTGCTGCGACTTCCTGGAGAGGAAGCTTTGTGTAAATAACTGCGTCAGTATCTGCAATCTGGCACACTTACACAACTGTCCTGACCTCAGTGGAAAGGCCTATCTCTACATCCTCCATCACTTTGAAGAGGTTGGTGCACTCTCCTTGGAGTTCCTGCAGCTCTCTGTGCAGCAACTATCAGATCTTATCGAGAAGGATGAGCTCAATGTGAAGCAGGAGAGCACTGTGTTTGAGGCCATTCTCAGATGGATCAACTATTCCCCTGTGGAACGTGGGTGTGACATGCCCGCACTGCTCAAGCAGGTAACTGAAAATGGGATATCAATTTAATTGCTCCTCTAAGTGCATTTATTTTGTTTATTACTCAGTGAGGGGCTGTTGAATGAATGGTAAAGTTTGAAAGTATAGAAAGTAACTTCCGCTGTAGCACTTTGAATTAGGAATAAAAAATAAAGCATAAGCTTGATGCCTGATGCAAAAAAAGAAGTTTGATTGTACACTATTGTGTTTACAGAGTTGGGTGTCCAGGCCGCACACCTGCTCACCCATCAGCCTTTTACGGCTGACGTGTAAAAAGCTAAAATTGCAATGGCAAAATTACTCAAACTTAAGGCTTGGTAATAGAGTTAATGTAGGGGAATCATTCTTCTTCATTCTTAATCACATTGGGGGGTGGGGGGGCTATTTCTAATTCACTTGGGAGTGTGCATCAGAAGGTGCTCATCATTTAGTCCTTAATAAATTGTAAAAGTATTATTTACACTTGCGTCCAGATAAAACTGGCCGTTGTTTTGTAGTTTCAGAAGTGCATTATTGATAATGTGTCTGAACTGCACTTTAGCTTTTCTGACAGAAAAGTTGACTATGCCCATAGTGTTCTGCCAGAACTTACTGACTGGTCCTTAGGCATTTACAACAGGACACACCCTCATTGTGGGACCTGTTTTTACAGCAGGAGGTTACTCAGTGCTTAGATAATGGCATTGACACTTGACTGTGGCACCACTGCTTGTTTGGAGCTAATGCCATGACCTGCCATTGCTGTTTGGCAGGTGATGCTGTGGCTCTTTACAGGTAATGTTAGGGTCTTTAAGGGCAATGCCACAGCTGATTGGAGGCGATGCCAGGAGCTACCATAGCTATCTGGGTGATTCCATGACATTTTGATTATAGAGATAGTGCTATACTTCACTAATGGGTGGTGGCATGGTGGCTATGTCCAACTCTTATATACAGTCTAATGTTATATTTCTTGCCTTTTTCCCTTATGATTCTTGTTTTCATCCAGGTCCGCCTACTATTAATGCCCACCGAGTACTTGGTTGACACTGTGAGCAGAAATGATCTGGTGAGTAGTAGTCCGGCATGCATGAATATGGTAACCACTGCCATAAAGATGCTAAATGAGTCCAATATGGAGAGACCTCTGACCCAAACACGCCTGCCGTCTGAAGTCTTATTGGCCGTTGGTGGATGGGTGAGTCATTTCCCAAGTGACAAGATTGAGTTGTACAATGTCCGAGCTGACCACTGGGTGCCGCTGAGCTGGAGACACAATGCTTCTCTGGGATTCTACGGTTGTGCTTACCTCAATGGATGTGTTTATTGCATCGGAGGTTTTGATTTCATAAGCTATTCAAGTCATGTGAGAAGGTTCAGCCTCACCAGCCAAACCTGGACAGAGGTGGGCTCGATGCATGAAGAGCGGGGCTTTCTCAGTGTGGCCACACTGAATGGCTGCATATATGCTATGGGCGGGTGCCGAAACCAAAAGAAACTGAAAACTGCAGAACGATATGAGCCTGACACCAACCAGTGGACTATGATTGCATCGATGCACAAGCCCAGGACAGAAGCTGGTGCTGCAACACTACACGGTAAGGTAAGTGGAATTGAGGTAGTGGAAGATCTCTGCCATGTTGGTTTTGTGGAGAAAGTGATGGACAAAGTTAACTGGTAATGCTAACAACCTAGGTTAACAAGCTGCGTCAATAAAATGTACAGTCAAATAATACCATTAGAAATGCACCAAAAGATGCCAATGCCTTAATCTGTCAGTACACTTCCCAAAGCAGTCACAAACCCAAATTTTAGCTAGGACGCTATCCATATGGATTAGTTTTGTTTTTTTTTGTCTTTTGTGTCTGGCTGTAAAAATGATTTTTAAGGCTATGTAGTTGGATTTACAACATATGGGGATTTATTATCTTTTGGAGCCAGCCAACCAACGAATTTATGCACTGGAACATGAGAGCACAGTAAAATATTACTTTTCTGTGAGCTTCTGTGCAAAAAAACATTTTTTAATAGTCTTATAAAGCTGGCCAATGGGAGTAATTTTTAAAAAATGATTTTTTTTTTAGATTAATGTCATGAGTATTGAGAAAGACATTCTTTCCTTGGTTGGTACTTTTTTTCTTGCAAACTTATAACAATCCTGCAAAGGATTGTTTTGGTTTTCTTGGTTTGGTTGGGATCTTTTTGTTAATTTAATCTCAGTAAATATATGTTTTTTAAAAAGAATATTATGGCTCGGCAATTTCTTTATTCCTGTTTTATTTGTTTTGCTTAACATGGCACTGATTTGCAAATGTACTTTTCGGCTTGAGGGCTTAATCATCACTGGACCTTTCTGTGGAAAATATGAATAGTTTATGAATTGTATCAGTTTTATAATATTTTTTAAAACTAAACATTTCTATTACCATTAATCCAACAGCTCAGGGAGAAGGTTAAGGTTACTTCACCCTCAGATCGTGAAAAATAGTAATTTTATCATTTCTGCATCCATATTTTGCAAGTCTGCAAAATACAGAAAATAAATGCAGCAAACCTCTGCTAAAACTAAATGTTTTAGGATAACACCATCATTTTTAGATTTTTACTACTATTATGCAAAGTAGCTACACAGAAATCTGATGAAAACATTTTTAGTTTTTCACAAGCGCATGGCACAACATAGAAGAGCCACCTCCACGGGACAAGACTCAGCAGTCCATCTGCATCTAAAGGACAAAGGTCACTCTTTCGAGGATGCCAATGTTCACATTTTGGACAGAGAGGACAGATGGTTTGAAAGAGGAGTGAAAGAAGCCATTTATGTCCACTGTGAGCGACCATCTTTGAACAGAGGCGGTGGTTTACGACACCAACTGTCTGCCATCTATAATCCAGTTTTGAGATCCCTTCCCAGACGCCTTAACGCCCACTCACATCCTGGGCCATCTGACCTCAGGAAATCACATGATAGGGTGGGGCCAGGTTTCACAATGAG